GCTGGAAACGAACTCTGGTTCGTTTAAAACGGAGCAAATTATCAGGTCTGAATACGACCTTTGACTTTATAGCCTAACACTGACCATATACTCTAAAATTAACCTCACAGAAACTTACCTGACCCTAAAACTAACCTAAACCTAACCCCACACCTGTAACATGCATTTGGACCCGTGGGGACCTGACAGTGGTCCCCACGATTCACTTCGGTCCCCACCTGGCTGCCTTTTTTTTGTAAAAAATACCCCATGTTGTAGGAAAAACCCGTCCACACACACACACATACAAGCCACTGTCTTTTTGGAAACTTTCCATTCACCTGTTGCATTTCCTTATCTCTTTTCACATCCCACTGAGTCCCCAATCCTATCACTTATCATAAACTTAATATTGTTTGGTCCCACCAAAACGCTCCATAAGCYTTTAGCCTTCAACATTTTGGTCCCCAAAAGTAACTAGGCCCAACGCCATAAAATGGTGATGGGACTCCAAGACAATGGTCGGTGTGATGCCTGCGGCATTGAATCAGAGACCTCTTTGCACTACTTAGGCCAATGCTTGGCTCTGAGTAGTCTAAGGGAAAGAATTCTTGGAGACCCCTTTGTGGATCCAGAGAAACTTAGAACACTGAGGGTTTCTAACCTGGTGTCCTTCATCCGAGGGACAAAAAGGTTTGATTAAAGCCCAGTATCTTTTGGGGAGAGCAATGRGCCCACTTATGAGGCCCCCGCTCACCTGGGTTGTACCCATCCCCAATTACCAATACCAATACCAATACCAAACTAGGCCCAACATGTTTAGTGGCTTTCAGTCTTTGAAGCCCACAAAAAACAAAACAAAAYAAAAACTTAGAGCTATAGGATTTYACTGGTCTGTGAGTGCTGACAACTAGTTGAAGACACAAAATCGTGAGAATACGTTCATTTTTGTAGAGAATATTTGCACACGTACAAATTAACAGCAACATTTACAAGACATTCCTGCAAATAACATGCAGATTTTTGGTTTCATRAAGTGGCCTAATTATGTCTTAAAGACTAAAAAAAAAGGTGGACCATAGACTGGAATTCAGAAGCTGAATCTTGAATGGGACCAACTTCCCTGTTATTTCAAATGGTCCCGCTGAAACTTCTATGTCCCCTTTTAGATAAAAAAACAAAGTATTGAATTTGTTAAAATATTACAAATAATAATAATAATAATAATAATAATAACACACTTCTGATAATTTTTTCCAGTGCTAACTTGTTGATTCACAAAGTTTCACATGATTTCACATTGTTTCATTCAGTTCTCGTCTTGCTCTTGTATGTTCATACTTCTTATTCATTTAGCTGTAAGTAATATTACAAAAAGACCTGTGAAACCATAATTATGTGCTGGAAAGTAGGTAGGTAACACGTTTTTTAAAAAGTTTTCCACAATTTAAAGCAATCAAAAACTTCAGAATGATCTGAAAATCTGTGCTGATAATGCTGGACAGAAAAAAGGGGTTCAATGTTATTTCAAACAACAGAGTCTTACTGGTTAAAGTCAGCCTGATTTTTCCTAATTTAAGAAAACMAAGGACCTCTCTAATCCASCTTGAATAAGTAGGTGGAGCTTCAAAGCTCTGGTTTAGCAGTTTTAGCATGCTGGTTAGCAGAGGTGTGAATGCTATTAAGCTGTTTAATCAGGAGAGTAAAGCAGCTTTTTCCATTGTTAAGCACCACTCYAATCACTTTGGTTCTTCTTAGTTGTAGGTGTGTCTCCTTTGTAAATGGGTTCCATGCTCTGTTTATTTTGGCGATTGTACCGATCCTTGTGCCGCTAAAATATCACCTCCAATCAGTCACAATTTAGTTTTACGAATCTTCAGACCCTCCCAAAGTTGTTTCACATTTCTCTGACTTTCTGACTCAAGGAAAGTTWGAAGGTTTTCAGAGTCCAGACACGAGCGACAATTTTGTGACTATTTTGACGTAGATCAGTCTCAAATCTTTTGAAGGTCTTCAAAATTCCCGCATTACGAAAAGCAAGGCTCTGTGACTCCCAATTAAAAACGTTTTCCCAAACGCTGCTCCCAAATTGTCACCAACAGTTGCAGCCCAGTGATCCTGGGCTCAAACAAAAGAACTTGAGCCGCAGTGAGCCCAGGTTTAATATGCAATAATACATAATCACTACATCAAATATTCTCCCACTGCTGTTTGTACGCAGTCACATTTATTTGTGTCCATAACCCCAACTTATATAAACAAAACACAGCAACGGCGAGGAAGCAGACGTGTCATAAATGGGCAAAAAATAAAGAGAAGTGGTCATCAAGGAAATCAAAGCTGTGGACACAGAGGACATCACAACCACCATCACCAACAGTGTTTTAGTTCTGCAGACAAGTAGCTCCGACATTCTGCTGTTTGTTGGCTTGAGTGGGCGTTAATTAGGAAGCTCCACCAGTGCGACAGAAATTACAGTCCTGAAGAGAATGAGCTCACAAATGTTTCTTATGAAACTCTTAACGAAGGCCTTGGAACATAATTATCTATTTTCAAAATTTATCCCTTTTGTTTCTTGTGCCAACACTCACCCCCAACCCAAAGCAAAACAAACCAAAAATAAAATTAAATAAAATATAAAAAAATAAAATAAATCCAGTTTTCTGCAAAGATTTCCAACAATACCAAAAGTTTATGGTCACATTAAAAGGGCATGCCTAAATATTGGATGGAGATACAGTATAACATTAAAACGGCTGTTTATGCTGGTAAAGAACAGTGAGAACCKAGATTTGTTTATCCAATTAATACTCTGGAGAGAAGACGGATTAGGCGTGGGGTAATTGTGTGTTTGAATGATGAATGTTTGCCTAAGTAACAGCTTGCTGGGAGGACAAGTTTGGGAGTCCTTGAACTTCATCTTTTTTGTACCTGTTGGGCCCGACAAATGATAAGAGCACAGCATGCTATAAATAATTCCTTCTCATTATGAGGACGTGTGCATGTTTGTCACACGCTGAATGTATAATTGAGCCCATGCAATGCAAATCTGTGTGTGGCTCTGGGAAAATAAAAAAAGAAAATATCATGAATATATA